ATATATATATATATATAGCATACTGCTTAGTATAAGCGTGTATATATAATATTAGGAATCAGATTTTTTCTGGGTTCGGCCGAAGGAAACGCCCACCTGGAACACCTCCGGCTCGCAGGCCGGATGATCGAGCCTCTTAAAGCCCCTCCAGTTCTTGAGGTTTAGGGGTTTAGGGGTTTGTTGGTTTAGGGTTGAGGGTTTGGGGTTGAGGTTTGTCCAGCAGCCTGCAACATCTTCTTTCTTTATGCTTCGCTGCGCGTGATGCCGCCAGAGCGGCCCATCGGCGCCTTTGCGCCCTATGCAGTCTGCGGGCTGCTGGAGTTGCAGTGGTGGGGGGCCCCGTGCCGTCGGAGCAGCGCAGAGCCAGTTCGAGAGAAGTTGGGAGCACCGAGGCCCACCGTCATGGCCTGCCCGCCCTGCCAAGCGCAAGACTTCGTCAGGGCCGTATAAGCCCGAAAGATAAGAAAGCCCTTAGCTCACCCCCTGGGAGCGAAAAGCTGTGCATCTTCGCAGCCCAGGGAGCTCAACTCGGCCCGTGTGACGAAGAGCAGATGCGTTTCGTCACCTTTAAGCTGATGAGGCTTTTCCGGACTGTGCCTTTGAGAGGTCGGGCTGCTGGCCCGTGTTCTGCCTTGCCAGGCCTTGCATCGGAGGGATGGCGGCACCCCCGGGTTACAAGGACTTGGGCTTGTCTCTGAGCTTTGGGAAGGCTCCGAAAAACGACTCGACACCCTACAGGAAACCCTTAACCCTGACATGGTGTACCAGTGTACCGGTGCCTGCGCAGTCGCATGAAACCCCCTTGAGAAGAGGAGAGCTGTGCTGGGGATGACATCAAAAGCATCGCCAAGCACGTGGGCAAGGCTGGGTGGACCTGGATGGCTTTTGCCTGCAATAAAATGAGAGCAAAAACAATAAGAAGAAGAATCATGAAACAATAATCTTCATTTTCCATTATGATAACTATATTACGATTAATATTATTATTATTATTATTACTACTACTACTACTACTACTACTACTACTCCTCCTGCTCCTGCTCCTGCTCCTGCTCCTGCTCCTGCTCCTGCTCCTGCTGCTGCTGCTTCTGCTACTACTACTAC